ACACAGGCTGGGGTGTCCATGCTTCTGTCATGTTGTGTTTCCCCCGGTGTCTTGCTGGTCCGCCTGCCAGTCTTGGGAAGTGTGATGCCCCTGAAGGGGAGACGCTTTGAGGGCAGAGTCCGAGGGGCTCTGGGGCCCAACTGTCCTCTGCATCTCCGAAAATGCAGGGCCATGTTAGCCACTCAGGTTCCATGTGAATTCAGGCCCTGGGGTGGGGGTGGGGGGCGCGGTGGGCTCTTCTCCTTGTTTTGGCCCAGAGATGGTGCACCTTCCGAGTCACCATCAGAGGTCTGAGCCCAGGGTCCTGATAGAGGATAAACAGGTCTGTTTTCCTCAGAACGTTTTATAGTTTATTTGGTCAGATGGTCTTTTGGGGGTTGGTTTTTCCTGTGCAGACGGCCATGCAGAGAGGCCATGGGTGTTGAATTCAGAGGCCCCTGCCCCTATTAGTTTCCATTTTGTCTCCTGTATTTTCCCATCTGTCACTATTTTATTGACGTAATAGTTTGCTGGTTTCCTTTTCATCTCCTGGACACGAAGCAAAGTCTGTGAGGTCAGGGTGAATAAATGAGGGAGAGCTGGGCTCCAATCCTGGCTCTACCATGTAAAAGCTTTGTGGCTTCCTGCAAAGTTACTCACTTTTCCTTACCTGCAAAACGGACACAGAATGGCACTTTACCCAGGACTGCTGAGAAATCCGTAGACCTCACATAGAGCTGCTCACAAAAGGTAAACCCCATTTCCTCCTGTCTAATAGAATTGTAAATTAGCGCCTTGACCTGGATGGGGGACAGGAGGACTCGGGTCAAACCTCTCCCAGCTGTGGAAGGCGCTGACATGCAAGGGCCCCGGAGCTTCTGACTTGTCACCTGCGGGAACCAGTGTCCTCCGAGAGCCGCTTGTCGACATGCTAACATCTCCCAGCAGGGCCGTGGCACACGATCTGCCTGGGCTCTACAGAAACCAGGGCCAGCTCCAATTAGGAAGCTCTGGCGGGGAGCTGAAGATTTTGAGGTTAACCCTGAAGAAACAGCTCCCTCTACACCCGCCTTTTAATTAAATGCTCACGTTTACTTTCCGGAGTTCATGGAGTCGTTTCACCTGCATCGCGGGGCTTGACGAAGCCCGGTTGCCTTGAGTAACAGAAAAGTACAAAAGGAGGAGGCTTCAAGGAAGCTGTGGGACAACACGGGCCCTGCTGCTTCTGTGCCCCTTTGTGGCTGATCGCTCACCTCGATAGGGACCCAGCAGGCGGAAGGAGGGGTCCAGGGAACCATTTCTGCTCCCTGCCTTGGCCTTGGTTCTTGAGATCCCGAGACCCACCTAAGTAAGGATGTGAGTCCATCCCTAGGGTGACCCAAGACTCCAGGGGCCAAGGAACAATTCCTGTAGACTTCTTGGTGCACAGGTAGTAGGCTGGGCTATGCTGTGTGTGCCAGCATCGTGCCCTTAAGACCCTTGCAGTATTGTTGGAGAGACAGGGTTCATGCAGAAAATATTACTGGAATACTTTCGTGCTGAGCAGGGTGATAATGACTATAAAGCAAGTAAGAGCCACCATCTCTTCATTGCTTATTATATACCGGGTCCTTTAAATATATTCTCTCTTTTTTAAAAAAAAAATTATTTATTTTATTAAAACAGTTTTTTAAAGTTTATTTATTTATTTTGACAGAGACAGAGACAGAGACAGCGTGAGTAGGGGAAGGGGCAGGGAGAGAGGGAAAGAGAGAGAATCCCAAGCAGGCTCGAACTCAGGAAACTGTCAGATCATGACCTGGGCCAAAACCAAGAGTTGAATGCTTAACCGACTGAGCCACCCAGGCGCCCCAGATATGTTCTCTCTTGTAATACTCATAACCTGCTCTTGGAGGGTCAGCAAAAGGCATGTCCATGCAGTCGTTTTCTGAGGGTGGGGGCCAGCTTCCGGTCGTGTTCCAGCATCCCTGCCAAAAAAGGTTCCAACAATGGTCCACACGTAATAAGTCCCTCTGTGTGTCTCCTTGTGCCCCTCCTCCTACACCACGGCAGCCCATCCTACGTGGGTCAGTCACCCACCACCCTGGCCAGAAATGGTGACACTCCACACGATTTTCAGACCTTCGCCAGCGTTCAAGCATGGGGCTCACTCGACATCAGGGAGGCGCCTGGTGATGGACGACCCCCTGGGTTGTCTGGACCCTGGTTTTCAAAGCCTGGATGTTGAAGCAGTGGTGGCAGTTTGGGATGGGCCCAGCAGGTGGATTTTTAACAGTTCTTCAGGTGCTCCTGATGTATGTTTGAGCGTAAGAGCCACTGTCCCGGGTTCTCAAACCTGCCTGCCTGTCAGAATTGCCTGAGAACTGTTTTGTGGGTTTTATAAATTTTTTGTTACTAACTTAATTTTAAAATAAAGGAAGACTTTTAAAACCGCTTTAGATTTACAGAGATATTGGGACGATAATACAGAGAGTTCGTCTACACACCACACTCTGCTTCCTCCCAACGTCTTACATTAGTGACGCATTTGCTACAGTGACGAACCAGTAACAATGCATTGTTATCAACCAGAGTCCATGCTTTATTCGGCTTTCCGCAGTTGTTGCTTAACATCTGTTCCAGAAACCCTTCTTGGGATTGTCGTGTTTCCTTAGGTTCCTCTGGGCTGTGACAGTTTCTCCGACATTCCTGGTTTTTGATGACCTTGACAGTTTTGAAGCATACTGATTAAGTATTCTGTACAGTGCCCCTCAATTTGGATTTGTTCGATCTTTTACTCCTGCCTAGACCGGAGTTGTGGGTTTGGGGGAGGAAGACCGCACACGTCGTGAGGGCACACGCCATCGCCGTTAACTCATCGCGGTTGATGTTGGTCTTTGTCACCTGGTGGTGGGGGACACTTTGACTTCTCCATCTGCCCCAGTCAGGTGTCTCCACTGTCCAGCTACTGCTCCCGACCCCAAACTTTCCACACTGTGCCGTGTGGAAGGAAGTCACGGGGCACAACCCGTGCCTATAGAGTGGGCACTCAGGCTCCACCTCCCTGTGGGCAGAGAGTCTCCGTAAACTGTTGGGAATTCTTGTGCCTGGGAGACTCGCCTCTTCTCTCCCATTTATTTATTAATTTAATGATTTACTAACGACATTATGGACTCCTGGATATTGATTTTGTACTTCCAGTTAGAATGCAAACACTCCTTTGTTGTGTGGCTCAAGTTGGTGCATCTTTGGCCGCTGGGAGCTCTTTGGATCGGCTCCCCACATGCCTCATCGTTGAGGAGGTTATTTTTTTATTTTTTATTTAATTTTTTGCTACTTCATTCCTTTTCAGCCACTACAAGCTTATCTCATGTGTTTCCTGCCCCAGGCCTGGAGTCAGCCATTTCTCCAGGGAGTCCTGGTTCCTTTTGTTGAGAATTGCATCAGAGACCACCATCTGGGCCCTAGGTGTGCCCACTGCTGTTGGGATGTCACTGGTTCTGGGCCCTCTCCGCTGACAGAGCAAGGACATACACGCATGTCTACTAACCTTTGTACGCCCACATACCTGTAACTATCAATGTAACTGTCTATACCAGTATTGAGCTAAGCGTGATGCCTTCTACTCTGAATCCACTATCCCATGGATCGTTCTAGACCCCGCCCCTCACCTATCTATAACCTTATACTCCAGGCGGTCGGATGTGTGGATCCTACCATTTGCCATCCATTTACTGAATTGTCCAGTTCCAGCATGCCTGGGTAACGGTATCAGAATTCTGAACACTCCCCCACCTCCTTAGGAATTGGCTTTGCCAACTACAGTACAGCATTTCTCTAGCAGGCTGTTTTGCCTTTAGTTTTTACAGACTCCAGTCATTCCTAGAGTTTCTGAGGTGCTGAGGCACTCCTGCCCCCTTCAGTGAGATTGTTTCTTTTCTTTCTTTTTTTTTAATGTTTAGTTTTGAGAGAGAGAGACACAGAGAGAGACAGAGACAGAGCATGAGTGGGGGAGGAGCATAGAGAGAGAGGGAGGCACAGAATCCGAAGCAGGCTCCAGGCTCTGCGCTGTCAGCACAGAACCCGATGCAGGGCTTGAACCCATGGACCGCGAGATCATGACCTGAGCCAAAGTCGGATGCCCAACGAACTGAGCCACCCAGGCGCCCCGAGGTTGTTTCTTTCATGCATTTGTCATACAGTCAGATTCTTTGATCACATTTCTGTATTCCCTCCTTGGATCCCGCCAGTCTCGTAAATGTATTTATTTTAAATGCATACTTTAAGCCTAACTGTCTGTGCTGCAAAGTTCTTTGGGTTTTGACAGATGCTTAATGTCCCGCATTCACCATCAGGGTATCCTAGAGAATAGCTTCCCCACCCTCAGAAATCCCCCGTGTTTCATTGTTCCACCTGCTCTGATTCCACCTGATCCTGGTAACCACACATCTCTTGCCTGATTCTCTCCTTTTGCCTTTTCTAGAATGTCATGTAATTGGAATCACGCAATGCACAACCCTTCTCACTGGCCTTTTGCACTTGGCATTCTGTGTTTAAGACTCATTTGTGTATTTTCGTGGCTTGGTAACTAATTTTCTTTATTGCTGAGTAATATTCCCTTATACAAACGTGCCGTTTTGTTTATCCATTCACCTAGTTAAAAGACAGATTGGTTGCTTCCAGTGTTTGGTAATTATGAATAAAACTGCAGGGTTTTTTTTTTTTTTTTTTGGTTTGTTTGTTTTGTTTTTCAGCCATCAGATTTCAAAGTAGGGGGTTCCTTGTTGCCGAAGGCTCACAGGCTATCAAAGATCATATCAGGCCCTCCACAGAGCTCTCTCTCTTAGTTCAAACTTGGAGCTGTGGCAGTTAAGCCCTGGGCCATTCTCCACCCAAGGACAGAGGAGGGTGAATGGGGGGGGGGGGGGGGTAGGTCCCAGCCACGTCCAACCCTTTCTGTGAGAATCTGAACGTTCTGTGATCACGCTCTGGTGTGATTGCTCCTATGTTGGTTTCTCACTTTTTTTGTCTGATTTTGGAAGGCTCTGCTCTGACCAACGGGGGATTAAACTTGCACAGCCCCGTGAAGAGGAAGCTGGAAGCAGAGAAGGACTATGTCTTTGACAAGAGGCTCAGGTACAGCGTCCGCCAGAACGAAAGCAACTGTAGGTTTCGGGACATTGTCGTGCGGAAGGAAGAGGGGTTCACACACATCCTGCTGTCCAGCCAGACCTCGGACAACAACGCGCTGACCCCTGAGGTGAGAGACAGGGGACCAGAGGGGAGGGTCAGGCTGGAGAGGGCTTCTTGTTCAGAACGGGGCTCTGGCTTCCTCTCGTGTCCCACACACAAACTTGACTGTGGGGCACAATGCGCTCATCACTTCACCTACATTACCCATTTGATCTTTATGTCCGGGTAGTGATCCTATCCCATTTTATAGATGAAGAGCTCAGCAAACAGATTCAGAAAATGAGTCAGGGTCACACAGTCAGAGGGCAGCCCCAGAATCCAAATACCGTATCTTGGGCTTTGCGGCATGTCAAATTTTTTTTTGCTTTGGACGGAATTATATTCACTCGGCTCTCTTACTGTTTTTTTTTTTTTTTTCAATTGAGATATAATCCACGTGCCATAAATTTCGCCCTTTTAAAATGCACGTGTTTTTTTTTAGTCTGTTCACAAGGTCATGCAACCATCACCACGATCTGGTTCCAGAGCATTCCCGACACCCCCAAAGGAAACCCTCCGTCCGCCAGCATCCCCTCCCCATTCTCCCTCGCCATGTCCCTGGTGACCGCAAATCTCCTTTCTGTTGCTACGGATTTGCCAATTCCGGACATTTTACAAAAATGGAATCGTATGGTGTGTGGTCTTCTGTGACTGGCTTCTTCCACTGAGCGTGAAGTCTCATCCGTGCTGTAGCGCGTGTCAGTACGTCATGGCTCTGCCATGGTATGGATGTGCCACATTTTGTCCCTTAGTCATTCCGTGATGGACATTTGTGTCGGTTCCACTTTTGGCTACTACGTTGTGACTCCTGTTGCCACGAACACTCGTGCATGGGTCTTTTTTGTGTGTGAACATGTTTTCAGTGCTCTTGGAGATACTCCTCGTCGCGGAACCACTGGGTCGTGTGGTGACTCTGGATGTACCTTTCTGAGGAACTGCCAGACTGTTTCTCACAGAGGCTGTGCCATTTTACATTCCCACTGGCCGTGTGCGAGGGCTCTGATTTCTCTGCTTCCTCGTCAACACTTGTTATCATCTGTCCTTTTTATTATAGCCGTTCGAGTGGGTGTCGGGTAGTGTCACCGTGGTTTTGATTTGCATTTTCCTGATGACTAACGATGGTGGGCATCTTTTCGTGTGCTTATTGGCTACTTGTCTTCTTTGGAGAATCTCTTCACATCCTTTGCCTATTCTTAAAACTGTTTTTAATTATTGAGTTTTAAGCCTCCTTTATCAGATGTAGGGTTTGAAAAGATGCTGTCATCCTCTGAGTTGTCTTGTTTCTTTCTTGATGGTGTCCTGGGATGTGCAGTGTTTAAAATTTTGATCAAGTCCGTTTTACCTGCTTTTTTTCCAACCTTACCTTCTTAGTGCTAATGAGGCTTATATTTTAGGTGAACAGAACGGGGAAACAGTGCATACTTAATGCTCTTACGTAGACAACACCATTTAAGATGTTGTCTGTGGGTACTTGGGGGGAACAACGAAGAAATAAGGTGGATATTTTTTAAGAGATTCTTGATGGTGCAAATGTGGGAAAAGATGAATCCAAGCAGCCCTCTCCAACTAGACCGACCTGGGACAGGGTGGCAGAGTGGTCAACAACAAAAACAGTGATAGTACCAGCTACCAGAGGATCTTCATGCTCTGCGTTTACTCTTTATCTCATTTCCTCATCCAGGAGCCTTCCGATGTAGGGTTGTTACGACCCACCCCTTACAGACAAGATGATGCAGGTTTAGAGACCTTGATGGGCTTAGTGTCATGCAGCTTAATGGAATGTAACCTTCAGGGAGCAGGACCCTTGCTACTTGCGGCCACCGTATTGTTTCTTACACTCAGACCAGTGCCTGGCCTGCGGAAGACGGCGAAGTCCACACCCCCCTTTCCCTGTCCTGCTATATCCTCCCCCCTCTGATTTCCATAGGAGCAGCAAAGACACAGAGGCTTAACCGCAGGGGTGTGTTTTGGGGTCTCTCTCTTGCACGTTCAGGAACCACCTGAGGGTTCTCTGCTGTATAGACCTCTGTCGTTTACCCTGAAGGCTGCCCTTCCCATATTTATACACATGGAAACCTTGTTATTTTAAGCTCATCATGAAATATTCACATGAGACCAATTCTTCTTGGATTTTTTTCTACTTCACTACATTTTAAAAGCATGCTTTTAAAAGGCACAGCGTTTTCCTTCCACAAGTCGAATAAATGTGAAGTCTCCCAGTTCATTCTGTCTCTTTGGAGCAGCTTTGTGTGTTAACCATTGCCTACTCACCACGGACGACATGTGGCATCCAGCTGATGTCAGGTGCCCAGGTTCTCCGCTCCTGGGACGCGGGCTTGGTTAATTAGGGGTTCCATTCCTAATTGGTGTCTGTCAGTAACAGAACAGGAGGAAAGTGGAAAAAAATATTGATCTGGTATTTTCAGCTGTCTCAACAACCAAAGTGGATTGACTCTACAGATAAGCTGGCCAACTGGGTAAAGTAGCCCTGAAAGAAACTTCCCAGTGAAACGAATAGGCGGTGTTAGAGCAATATAGATTTCGGAGGCTAGTAGACTAGGCTTGCATCCTGCCTCCACCATCTCACCTTGGGAAGTTACCTTGCCTCTCTGGAGCTTCCTCTTTTGTAGAAGTTGTACTATATCTTGCTTGTGGGATTAGAGATCATGTCTGCAAAGAGGCTCACAGAATGCCTGGCACACAGGAAGCGTTCAATAAATGTTCCCATCATTGTTAAAATGAAACAGAGGTGATTTAATGGTCTCCAGCACACCAGCCTTACTTATTCATGGAGCAGCTGGGGTGAGACCACCCTGCATGTCATGATTGAATTTCTTTTTCTGGTTGTACGTGGGACGTTGGTCGGATTGGCCTCATGGGCAGAAATTCGTACATTACTGGGTGTGTTAACTAGATTCTGAGGCTAGAGGGTATGTTGTAATATTTCTCCTGTCTGTAATATTGCAAAGAACCAGGAAGATAATGAAAATGCCCCTTCAGGAAAGAGCCAGCAAAATAGATTGCCCAAAGTGTTGGTGATTAAAAGCTCATCTACTCCCCCTTTGGGAGACGACCCCAAGCCTTCGCTCAGCTCCCGGTTTTCTGCAGTTCTCCCAGACTCAGAGAGCCGCACCACCGCCATCCCCGGGGGCACATTGGACACGTGGGAATCACAGCTCACACCCCTGGATCACACCCACCACGTCCATACTGCCCCCAAGGTCCGTTAGCTTTAATCCTTGAACGGCCCGCTAACATGCTTTTTTCTCCCTGTTTCCATCCTGACCAATATGTTCTGGACGGTTGCAGTAACCTGCTAACAAGTGTCCTCTTTCATATTTCCTCCCCTGCAATCGGTTCTCCGCACGGCAGGCAGAGTGATCTGCCGTGAATGCAAATCTGATCAAGGCACGCCTTCTCCACATGCACGTGCACATGCACGTGTACACCTGTGCTCCTGCATTTCAGATGCATCTGTGATTTCCAGTTGCACTGATTAAGAATCAGAACGATTCACGCGGCCTGGTGAGGCCGCTGTGTTCCGACCTGCCCAGCTCTGCGACCCTCCTCGCCTTGCACCACACAGCCTCCTTCCCTCCTCCTGCACTCCAATCAGCCTGGCTTGCTTCGTGTTCACACCTGCACCAGGGCCTTTGCGCATACCTGTGCCTCCTTCCCTTCCTCCTTGCCTAGTGGCCTTACACTTCGTTCAGGTCTCAGCTCAGCCTCCACATCTGCAGGAGTGACCCCCCACCCCCACCCCTCCCCACCCAGCTCCCTGCCCAGGTTATATCCTTCTCTCACTATGCACCCCTCCCCTCTGGAACTCGTTACGGTTGTTAGTGAACATGTATTTGTGTGGTAGGTTGTTAAATGTCTGGTTCCCCCATTACACTGCAAACTTCTTGAGGAGGTAAATACTGTGCTACTCATTCGATTCAGTAAACACTAACTAGGTTTTGTTTATAAGCAGGGTTCTGGACTAGGTGTTACAAGGGTTATACAGATGAGTAGAAGACTGTTTTAGCTTTTAAGGAATTATATTAGTTATCTGTCACTGCATAACAATTTGCCCTAAACTTAGCATCTTAAAACAACGAATATTATCTCACAGTTTCTGTGTGTCAGGAATCCTGGTGTGGCTTAGCTGGATGCCTCTGGCTCAGGGTCTGTCAAAGCCTGCAGTCAAGGTATGTTGTCTGGGGCTGCGGTCTCAGCTGAAGGCTCAGTGGAGGCGGATCCACTTGTAAGCTCACCCAAGTGCTGATGGCAGGTCTGAGGTCGTCACTGTCCAGAGACATCAGTTCCCTGTTATGTGGTTACTTCCTATGGGCTACGGATTTGCCTCTCCCTATGGCAACTCGTGACATGACACCTTGCTTCCCCAGATTAAGAGCTCCAAGAGGAGAGAGAGAAAAACAGGATAGCCAAGACAAGCTGTGCCCTTTTGTATCCCAGTCTCCTCTTGAAAGGCACATCCCATCACTCTTGCTATATTTCACGGTTGGACGTGAGTCACCGGGTCTAGTCTACCCTCAAGGGGAGGGGATGCCACAAGCATGTGACTACCGTGGAGGGGATCCTTGAAGGGCATCTTCGGGGCCACCTATCAGGGATTTAAATCAAGCAGGAGGTAGGGTGAGGCCAACATGCTCACAGCCTACAAGGGGGCTTGTCACAAGTGTCTTAGGGGGGATTTAAGACACTTGGGGTGTCAGGAGAAGGAAAAGTTTGCATTTAGTCAGGGATATGTGGGAAAGCATTCATGAGGGTGGTCACAGCTGAGATGGGCCCTGGGTGACTGCTTTCAGCAAGTAGAGATGAAGTAGAGAGGGGGACTCTGGTCTACTCCCCCCTTTAGACCCACTTTTTTTTTTTACGTTTATGTATTTATTTTGAGACAGAGAAAGCACATGGGAGGGGGAGAGACAGAGGGAAAGAGAAAATCCCAAGCAGGCTCCATGCTGTCAGTGCAGAGCCCAGCATGGGGCTCAAACCCACAAACCGCAAGGTCATGGCCTGAGCTGAAATCAAGAGTCAGACGCTTAACCGACTGAGCCACCCTGGTGCCCTTGACTCCCTTGTGATGAATTTGGCTATCTGCTCCCAAGGCATGGCAGATCAGAAGGTGGGGGTAGCAGTGGGGATTGTGCTGTCTCCAGCAGATACATCTGGAGCAAGTGGCAGCTAATGAGGGCAGTCAATCTCAAGAACGTATTTGGGGCTTCCAAATGCGTAGCAGTCTTGGACCGTTTGTTACAGATGCATTCCCTGGGAGCCTCTGAGGGGACTGGTCTGTTACAGGCTAGCAAGGGACCATCGAGAGGCAGTTATGTGTGTGCCGAGTATCCTGTTTGGGAAGGCAAAGGAAGTAATCATTTTAGAATGTTTCACTGTAAGCAAACCGGTTGCGTGGTACAACTTGGGGTCCTTCAAGGAGGTAGAACCTCCAGCCATCTCTCCAAATTGGATTATCAACATGACAAAGAAAAAGGAAAGCTATACTAACCAGACATAGCATTCTTGAAATTACAACATATAGTTTGTACTTTTCTCACATGAATGAAGCACAGATCGACTTGGCGCTTAATTCATAAAGGAGGTGGCCGTTTTGCTTGATTTTGTCTTTACTAATTGACTAGTAAATGTGGCCTCGGTGAGAGAAGCCACTCTCTTGAGTCACGTGTAGCATGCCAGTTCGCATCTTTACAGCAGGGTTTTCTTTTATTTGCCTCTCAGAGAAATAGAGTTCATGGATTGTTCAGAGCATGTCTATTTCTGGAGGCAGATGGTTTAAAGGACCCACAAGATAGTGGCCCATTCGCTTTTTTTGATGTTCAAAGGAAATCTGTGGCTTATACCCAGTGAGAATGGAGAATGACTCTCCCACCCTCACAGAGCACCAGCTGGGAGATTCTCTATTTAGATTGACATCGAGCCCTACTTTTGTCCGTGAAAATTCACCCATTTACTGAAATCATCCTACAGTATGGAGTAGTAGAAAGAGAAGGGGTCTGGGGGTGAGATTTTCACCATGGTTCTGCCTCTTCCTTCTGACCTCGGGTGACTTATGTCACTTCTCTGAGTTTTCCTCGCTCTCCCTGCAAGATCAGCATCCCATTCCCTCCTCTATGGGATTATCGTTTAGAGTAAAACATGTGGAAATTACTCGATGTAGTCCCTGGCACTTCCAAGGGCTTAATAAGTGGGTTCTTTAAAAAGTCTAATTAAAAAAAAAAAAAAACTGGCTCTCACAATATTTTCCCTTTGTACCCTATGATGATGCCTAATGAAAAATTAACAATGATCCTTTAAAAGCCTGTTCACTTATTGTCTCCCCAGTTGGACTCTCAGCTCCACCCAGGCAAGTGCATGCCTTGTTTTCTCTTACCATGCCTTTTCTGCACTGATTTTTCCCTCCTTCCCTGACTTCTGTTGGATTGAGTGATTGAGCTTTCTTTATTTTACCCCCCTCCCCATTCATTGTAATCCATGTACGTTTAAGAAGTTATCCTTAAGTTACAAACACATAGTGAAGCCTAAATGTGATCATCGCCTCTCCACCACTCCCAGACATAGAACCTTGGCATGTGGTTGTCATTCCTCTCTCATCAGACACAATATTGTCGCCTGGACTCCAGTTCTACCCTTGTGCAAACCCTCACCCTCAGTTGGTCAATATCAGTATGATGATTTTATAGTCATTCTTATATTGATTTATCAACACATTCACCATGTTTCTTTGCTGGCTGTTATTATTCCTTGCATGTCAGTCTTTTCTTTCTGATTATAGTTTTCTTCTTTCTGAAGTGCATCCTTTTTAAATTCTCCCAGTGAGGGTCTAAGAGTGGTAAACATTCTTTTGCTGAAAAATGCCTCATTTTTACCCTTGCTTTTGAATGATAGTTTAGCTGGATACAGAATTTGTGTTTGACGGTTGTTTTCCTTGGCACCTTGAAAATTTTATGAGTTCTGATGCCACAGCCCCCTTCCCACGTGCCACCTACGAGCCATGCAGAAGTCTTAGTTGAATTAAGGACAAGCAAGAGTATAATTAAACCTGGCCTCCTAGAGAAGGCTAACATACTTCACCTGGCTGCTCATAGGAATTTTTTTCCCCACACCTTTGAAAAGAGCCAAACGTGTAAATGCTGGAAGAAGATTTGCAGAGACTTACCAGGGATTACACGGCTCCAAGCCAGGCTTCCCAGCCCGTGGCCAGTGACCTCACTGCCACCTTCTTAGCACTCTGTGCCGGCTTCGGGGATGCTGCAGGGGAGCTCTGGTTTTGGTGTTTCTTTGCTTAGTCTGGATGTGGCTTGTATTCAGGGGAGACTTCCTGCACAGGAAGAGAACATGTACTTGGCTCTGCCCTCAGGGGTGAGGCCTCTGGCAGGCTTGAGGTCTGAAGGCCCCTGGCTCATAGGTGGACACTTAACATCCCCACAAATCCATCTCTGCCCGCAGATTATGAAGGAGGTCCGGCGAGCGCTGTGCAACGCGGCCACGGACGACAGCAAACTGCTGCTTCTCAGTGCAGTGGGCAGCGTATTCTGCAGCGGCCTAGATTACTCCTACCTAATTGGCCGGTTGTCCAGTGACAGGAGAAAGGAGAGTACCCGGATTGCAGAAGCCATCAGGTGAGCTCTGCTCATGTTTGGACACTTTGGGACCTGCCTCCTTTTGCTAAATGTAGCACATAAAAATACAGGCTGCTCAGCAAAATTTGAATTTCAAACAACAAAGAATTTTTTTTTATCATAAGTACATCCTATGCAATATTTGGGATATACTTATACTAAAAATTTTTTTTTGTTGTTTATCCAAACTTGAGATTTTAATTGGGTATCCTGTATTTTCTGCCCAAATTAGGGTTGCCTCTGCTGTCTAGATTAGATCCCACCTTATTGTTTCCCTCAAAAAAAGATTTTATTTCCTTATATTAATTAAGCACAGCATCCGGTAATGCCCATGTGTGAATCCATACTACTCCTGCCCTTTGCCTGATGGTGAAATCTTGGATTTTCTGGGTGTTCCTGTGTCCTGGAGCTGATGTGGCTCAGCCCTGGGGAGAGGATGGAGGGCTACCCTGGGCAGCTGGGCATCTTCAGACCCAGTGGGGTGGGGAGTGCCTCTCCCTCTCTTGTTGCTTTTGGGATAAAAGTTGGGATCCTGGGGTTGACATCGGATCCCAACAATCAGTATCTCTTTTGGGAGCACTGAAAGGTCGTCTTTTCCCCATTATTCATAGGTTGATCAAAAGCAAGTGAGTGTTCTTTCGAGCAAGGGCCGTCACTCATCCTCCACCCCGGGAAGGGCTCACGCTTGCTGCATCTTGTGCCGTTCTCAAACCAGAGTCACGGTGCAGTAATGCCTCCTGCTGTCTTGGAAAGGGGCACCCATCTATGTGGGGTCATGGAGGCCGAGGCCACATGTGAGGGATTTTATGGGGCCTCTAATCTCACTGTGCCTGGCAGCGTCCTACGGAGGCTAATTTTTCTGACCCATAGCCAGGGGCTATAGTCTCCATGAGCTGATGTGCAGACACTGTCACTGGTGAAGTTCTGAGTCCTTTCTTCAGGGTGAAGCATCTGGTGAAGTCTGCCCCAAAACACCCATGTGCTTCACGTTGCCGATTTCTTGCCCAAAGAGACACCACAGAAAGGCCGAACACGTTATTAGAAAGAGCACCCTGGTTGCATGATGCTCCCAGGCATCGTGGGTGCAGACAGTCCTGGCCACGTCCACAGCGGTTTTTTCTCTTCTTGGACTCAGCTGTGCCTTTTAGCAGCTTCCTCGTCACATGGTGAGGGGAATAGTAGGGGCCCCAGTAAGCCTCCTTCATTTACGGGACCATCAGAGACGGGGCTCCCATCTCTGTGGCCTGAGGAAAGCCTTGGTGGTAGCTATCATGTGGTTTATGAATTTCAGTGGGTGCATTAGCTGGATTCCCAGAAGTCCCAAATTCGAGGAGAATTGGGAGAATGCATTCGCTCACCTCTCAAGAAATGCAGTCAGTAAGATTTAGGACATTTTCTGTCTCGTCAGGAAGGGGAGTTTCTCCTTGGCAGAGTGGAAGGGAGGTGACAGAGGGAATCCCTCCCAGTGCTGGAAGGGAGTGGACGTTCCTAATTTCTGAGCCGGCAGAGACCCCGGGCGAGGGAGGGGAGAATGTCCCCTAGACCAGTGCTTCTCAGCCCCAACAGCACAGAGAATGGCAGGGAGCTTTTCTACAACCCAGTGGCTCGCCAGCAACCCCAGAAGATTCCACATCAGTGAAAGTGGGGTGCGGCCAGCACAACTTTGGTTTTCAATTTCCCTCAGTGGTGCTCCTGTGCAGCCAGTGTGGAGAACCCCCCCCCCCCCCCAACCCTAACCCAGGGGTTTCTGCACCACTGACTGAGAGCACTGGAAGTTCTAGAAACAACAAGATCCTTCTTTTTGTGTAACAGAAAAGGTTGTTAGAAGAGGGTGAGGGAGAAGGTGCTGGAAGGAACAAGGGTGGGTGAGGAGCTTCAAGGGCGTGGATGGGGTACAGAGAGGACGGCCCTGTAGAGAAGAATGCCCATGGGGTCGGAAAGCGACTGTGTCCTGCTCTTTGTCACCGGATTCCTGAGGGAAGGCTCCAGCTCCACCAACTTTGGAGTGCTCCCCCCGGCAGCCACACTCCAGAGTCTGGGACACGGTGGAGCAGGGAAGCGTTTCCCAGAGAATGTTCTGGATTTCCCGAGAAGCATCATGAGCGAGGGGCCCTGTGGTTAAGTTTAGGCCATGCCACGAGTCCTGTCCCTGTGCCTGCAGATTTTCCAGGCATATTAACGTATTTGCAACCTGAGAAGTCTCTTGACAAAGAACTGTTTTCAGAATCTAGCATGGCTGGAACACATTTTGGCCCCAGAACCTTATAACCCACTGACAGTCCCTTGCAGTTTTCTGGGGGCATGCGTGCTGTTGGCTGGGCCGACCTCCAGGATCCGGCATGCCGCGGGTCCTCAGCGCTCCCCAGCGCTGCTCCCGCCCCATCCTCATCGTGTCCTAGAGAAAGCACGCGCACACGTGACCCAGGATGCCGTGTTCACTCTGCAGATGTTTGTTGAATGAACTAGCAGATGTGAGAAGGGCTCAGATGATTCATTCGGTGCAGGCCTCTGTCCAGGACCCAAACGAGGCTGTCCGCCCCATCCTGAAAGAGAGGGTGCCCTCACCTGCACTCCTCGCAGGTGATGTGATGGCCTGCTGGCAGGTTGCTGGGATTATGAGTAAGCAGATAACCCGTGTGAAAAACTTGCACTGGCCTGGCACGCAGTTGGTACTTCCAACAGCTGTAAAGAATTATCTCCATCGCTAGTTCTGTGAACGTCCGGCCATGAGTTCTCGCTGAGCCTGGTCTGACCGTGGAGTGGGCTTCGAGAGCACCCCTGTGGGGGCCCCAGGATGACCGTCACCATGTGTGTCTGGTGCGCGTAGGTCCCGTACTGGCTGACTTGGCTCTGAACATTGGCAGTGGGAGGGCTGCACCCCTCGGCTCTGGTTAAAGGGACTGGGTGACCGGGTCATGCAGAAAATGCCAGTTGCTCTGGGTGGAATGTGGACATCCCCGCATTCAGACTGTGGCTTCAGAGTCTCCTTTGGGCCTGGAGGGCAGATCTCCGACCGCCGAGAGTGGAGCGAGAGCAGCGCCCGCCCTCCCCGGCAGGTGCACTGACTGTAATAATAGCAGCAGTGACCGAGGGCTCCTGCGTGCCAGGCAGGACACGTTTGTCCCTCTGGGGACAAACCGTTGGCTTTGCCATTTGACAAGGAGTAAAATGGGGTTCCAGAGAGTGAGTGACTTGCCCAACATCTCATGACTAGTTAGGGGCAGAGTAGAGACCCGACCCCAAAGTTCCTGCCCTTTCTGCCACATCACAGCAGCCCAGCACTCAGACAGGCAGAGGCCACAGGGCTCAGGCTCAGTGGAGGAAGTGGCAGAGGCCGGGGTCAGCATAACCCCAATCCCAACAGATGGACTTGAAGCCACAGAAGACGGCATGTCATCCCCCCCACCCCCACCCCCACAGTCCCACTGCCAGAGTCAGGATCAGATATCTGAGCGGCAGTGTCTGTAACGCAATATCCTGTTTGCTGTCTGGCTTCTGTGTCCACTGGGCCCTTGTGATAGAGATCTCCTCTGAGTGAGAGGAAGAGGATGGGGAGAGTGGTCTGTGCATTTGCATTTTCGTATCTAGGACGGGAGCCCACCGCGTGGCTTGGACAGGAACAGGATGGGGTGGGGGGGGTGCAGGGGCAGAGCTGGGCACACTCGGTCCCCTTAGCCATCCTCGGGGTACTTAATGCCTCTGCACAGGGCTCAGGTTGGAGACCGCAGAGGGAAGGGTTCTGGGCTCCAGCGCTGTGTGCTTTCCGTACGGTCGTGAGGGCGGAGGTGAATTCCCAAAGGGCTGCCCTGTGCGTATTGGGGCAGACTGGACCTGCAAGAGGTCCACAGTGGGGAGGCGTCTTGATAGGGAAGAACTTCTTTACTCAGAGTGTTCCACAGCAGTTCCTGAACTCCTTCCCGGCTCCAAGATGCAAGGTCCTGAAATTGTGTATGAGGGGGTTTAGATGTGGAACGTTGGCCCCAAATCACTCAGACCCTGTGGTTCCAAGGACCATGTGGTTCCAAGGACCCTGCCAAGAAGTCCCACGTACCGTGCAGCCTCCAAATTACATTTGGTAGAAATCACATGTTAAGGCCAGTGACTAAAGCCTTGAAGTTAGGAAGTCAGGCTGGGAAGGGGGCCACCAGAAAACCAGGAATCCGAGGGCCACGGTGCCAGAATGCAGCAGCATCCTTTTGGGGGTGAGCTGCAGTGGGGCCGGCAGTGGCTGGGAGAACTCCCCCCTCGACTCACACATCACTGCTCAGGAGTCAGGAGATGGGACGCCTCCAGCCTGGATTAAGGGTGAGATTTATGTGGCAACGTATAGGTCGTGAGACAGTCTTCTCACAGTTGAATCCAACCCCAGCCTATCACTGTGGTGCCCACATCTCTTGGTGAGGACTGGGGGGAAGTGCTAATCCTTGAGAAAGGATAAATCAGCCAGCCATTTGTATTAGTGAAGTATTAGCTGCTGTAACGAATGAACCCCAAATGTATGTAATGGCTCAGTTGTGATAGAAATCTACTTCTTATATATGGGAACCTGAAACAGATGTTACTTATCAGCCCATGGCTGTCCTCCAAGTGTGACTCAAGAGCACAGACCCCTTCCATCTTGTGGCTCAGCACATGCCTTCCAAGACTGCCATGCCTGCCAAAGTGAGAGGGCTTGCAGACCGCATGGCGGGAGGTTTCCGTGCACGGGCTGGAAGTGTGCGTATGGTTTCCATTCACATTCCGTTGGCCAGTGTTTCGTTCCTTGGCCACAGCCACCTGCCAGGGAGGGGGAAATGTGCTCCAGCAGCAGACTCGGGAAGAGGAGGGAAGGGAAATTGGGTCTGGTGAGCAGCTAGTGTGTCCCTGCCGCATGTCTCCCATCTTCAGTCTCAATCAGAGATTGCTCCTCTGTTCGTTCGGCAGTCATTTGCTGAGTGTGAACTCCGGTACGTATGGGCACCACGCCGTGCACAAGGCAGACCTGTAGGTTTCCGTAAGGAGCTGGAGAGGGAGGAGAATCCAGAAACAAGCAATCAAGCAAGTGATGAGGATAATTGCAAATTGTGAGACTGGTGTTTCCCAAGAACTCTCAGAAGGCCCGTGCAGCTCACGCATCATGAGCAGGCACGAGGGAGACGAGATGTGCCTGGAGCGGTAAGCAGAAGCAGACCAAGGTCATGGTCAGGGGTGTGGATTTTACTCTTGTGAGGTCTCGGTAGTTTCTCGTCTTCTACCTGGGAATAATGAAGGATGCAGGCTTTACTAGACATCTTGGATCTTTCCTCCACGTCCAGATGAATATTAACATTTTATAGATCTTATATAGCGGCTGGGGGAAGGGCGAAAGGCATTCTAGGGCAGAGGAAGTAGAGAGAGGTGTCTCTGCTTAATAGGTACAGATGCACGCAGGAACTTTGCTCACTGCAGAAGGGCAGGGTGATAAAATGTCTCCTGATCCCAGAGCCATGATCCCAGATGCCTCATGTCTCCATGCCCAGTGTCCTTCCCCACTTTTGGTCGAAGCCACCCTAACGTGTGGATCCTCATCAGCCCTTGATGAGTCTGGCATCCCTTTGGGTCATTCAGAGTCAGACAATCGTAGGACTGAAAGTAATGTTAAATATCATCAGTCCTCACCTGTGACCACCATCTGAAGCTTGAGTTTCTTTCTTTCTACGCCCAAAGTGATCATCCAGCCAAAGTTGGAATACCTCCAATATTGAGGATTCATACTTCCCAACATCAGCCTTTCCACCCTCAGCCAGTGCCGTCAGAACTTTCCTTCTCTCCTTGTGTTCACATATGCCTCCTTTGTGTTGTCTTTCTGGTTCTGAACCTTGACGTTCAGGTTGGCTTCCTTAGGATATTTACAGTTTGTCAATATCCAGGGAGTGAGCGCAGTACTGGGACAACGGGCATGACCTAGGACCATCTGGACAAACTGGGAAAGGCGGTCACGCCATGAATTTCTTTCTGAAAACCTGCCACCAACCACCAAGTGTGCCAGGCCTGTGACTGCAGCTCAGTGGCTCAGTGTCCAGGAGGATGAGACGCTTGCCTGGCACCCTCTTCCCTCTGATGACCGGAGGGTGCCAGGCAGCACTGGGGAAGCTTGCTGCCACCTCGGTAGGTTCAAGGGTGTCAAATAGGTCTCGGCAAGCCTGGTCACCTGCTAAAGAGGGTCTTCTCTTTTCTCCCAGGGACTTTGTGAAGGCCTTTATCCAGTTTAAGAAGCCTATCGTGGTCGCCATCAACGGGCCTGCCCTGGGCCTCGGTGCCTCCATCCTGCCCCTCTGCGACATCGTGTGGGCCAGCGAGAAGGCCTGGTTTCAGACCCCGTATGCCACCATCCGCCTCACGCCCGCCGGCTGCTCCTCATACACCTTCCCTCAGATCCTGGGCGTCGCACTGGTAAGCCTCCTCGGTCCTTGGGCAAGATCCCTCTCTGGGATCCCGACAAGACCCCTTCTGTGTCCTGGGTTTAGGATATGGCCCTTCATATGAATAAGGACCTTGGGGGTGCCCCTCGTGGCGGAATCTGCTGACTGTCTCTGCTTCCTCTGCCTCCCCAGAGCAGCTGGGAGGAGGGCAGGCTGATCTTGGAGCCTTCCCATGCTGGTGCCAGACGGCGCTGGCGGGTGTGGCCAAGGCCGAGAGGATGATGGCGATGTTTGCTTACCAGACACACACTTTGTTTACGTAACCGAGTTAACTCGATTCAGTTAGTGCACATAATAAGCACCTAACTAGTTAAAGCATGAAGTCGTCTGAGCGAACTGAACTAAGTTCAAGCACTTTGCATCCAGTTTTTTCATTTATTCCTCACAACAGCCTGATAAGATCCCGTATCAGAATGGACTGTGTGCTGTAACAAACGATCCCACAATCCCCAAACAACAAAAACTTCTCTCTCACTCTTGCTGCAGTCCAGCCGTCCACACTGACTGGGGTCCCAGGCGTCTTCCATCTGGTAGTTGTACCTCCACTTTGGCCAGTGGACGTGAAGAGAGAGGCTGGGCATTTTCAGGGGCCTGACTGCAAAGGGCATCTTCGTCCCCGCTCACTTTACAGGGGCCAGGGTTCCGTGGCGTGGCCACACCTACCTGCAAGGGAGGCTGGGAAATGTAGTCTTGCTGCCTGTCCCAGAAGCAGGAAGGGATTTTGGGTGATCACACGGCAAGTTCCACCTGGAGAACCTGTGTTGCGGTTTCCATCACACAGATGGCAAGCTGAACTGGAGACGTTAAGGAACCTACTGAGTCCCGTGTCAACAGGCAGAGGGGTGTCTGAGTGAGTGGTGGCGTTCACTGCAGGTTGCGGACAGATTCTGCGCCAAGAGCCAGAAGCAGGTGTGGTCAGGGGACGGTAATAATAACAGCTAACACTTGGAAAGCACTTACCGTGGCCAGTGCTTGATGGCTGCTACCTCAGTCCATCCTCCCACAACCCTGTAAGGTAGGGCTGTTGTCATTCCCAGTTGACAGATTGGAGGCTGAGGCTCGGGGAGGGTGAATTGTGCAGGGTCACACAGTGGGAGGGGCAGTCGTGGCATCTGAGCCACAAACTGTCTGGCTTCAGAGTCTGTGCTCTTAACCAGTGTGTCCCAAAGGAGGACCCGCCTCCGAGGAGTGAGTCTGAAATGGGGGCAGGGGTGTGTGTGTGTGTGTGGTGTTTGTTTGACCAAGACCCTATTGTCTGAAATCAACTTGAGTCTCCTCCTAATGGCTTGTCCCTCCAAGAAGGACCTCCAGACCAGTTCTGGAAAGCCCCAGCACCCACATATGCAGGTGTAGGTGCTCTTTCTTGTCTGATACTGGAGAAAAAATTGGCCACATTCCATTGCATGGGACACTTGTGACCTCCTGTTAGTTGAGCGTGGTGGGCCTGTGGTCACCCCTGACATTGTCTGCTTGCTCTGCCTGTGACAGATGCTCCTGGAAACTCTTTCCTCCATTCTCTCCGTTCCCGGCTTCTTCTTGACCCTCCGGCAATCTATCCGTTTGTCTCTCACCAAGCCTTTGGGGGGGTCTTCTGGTTTGAGTTGGAGCCCTTTGGCAAGGAGCAAAAGGTTTGAATGACCCAGGCCTTCTGGTTCCTTCTCGTGTTTGGTCTCTGGCCTTGATGTTCACATCCCACAACTCGGAAAGGTTAACTCCCATGTGACTTCCGAGGCCTTGTGGGCTCAGTGTGGCCACCACCTGCTGAGCAGACCAAGGTTCGTGCCTCTTCCATCCTTAGGATTCCGGATATTCTCGGTCTCCCCTCCCCCCGCCTCCCCTCAGGCTGAGGTCCTTGGGTGAAACCCTCAGGCGCCAGCTGCCTCCGGGAGTTAGTGGGGCCCCTAGTGAAGTGCTCTTGGTACTGAACTCCTGCACAGGGAAGCCCGATCATTTTGGCCCTCCCTGCCGTCCCTTTGATGCTTGCACTCTGCACAACGTGTCCACTGTGTTGCCATCACACACCAGAACCACATGGGCACTTTGATGGCAGGGGACTGAGTGGGTTGTCCCAGCAGGATTCTCCAAGCTTGTGCTCACCATCACATGCGGGCTAGTTTACTGGTCACTTTCCACCTGATGGTCTCACTCGCTCTTTCTCAACACCTGCAAAGGTAGGTCCTGTTGCCCTCCGTTCTGCAGAGAAACTGAGGCAGTGGGGTGATAGCCTAGCAGGTGCTGCTCCTTCTTTGAGCCCACAAACCTCAACGAGCTCCCGGAAGGCACCAGGCCTTTTGCCCTCCCTGCTTAGAAGTGCAAAGATGAGTAACCCAGGGGGCTCCGTCCCTGGTAATCCTGTCTGTGGGCGCTGATGCGTGGCTGGCGTGGTGTTTCCCTGCTCTCCTGTGGTCTCGTTGGATCCTCACAGGTGGTAATTGGTACCCACTTCAGAGATGAATAAACAGATTCAGAGAGGCAAAGAGATTTGCATGGGGTCACAGGGCAAAGCCAGAGGCGGAGCAGGGGTGTCTGATCTGCGGCCCATGCTTCCCTCTGCCCCGGTCCCGTTAACCTTGGCCTTCCTACCTGGGAAGGGAAGAGACTCGTAAGCGTCCACACTGCTATACCGTGGTGAGGTTCAGAGGTGGTTAGGGAAGGCCCCCAGAGGGGGCACCCCCCGAGTGAGTCTGCAAGAATGGGCACCCCCGTTGTACGCCTTCAGTGTGGGCTCGTCACTCTCTGATGGTGGCACGAAGAGGAGGAGCAAGTACGAGATCAGTGGAGACCCCCAACAGCCCATGCCCACGGCACCACCCCGTCCACAGGGCAGGGCCAGCAGGGGGTCGGTAAGGCCATTCGGATTCAGGACCTTGGGGCCTGCTCGAGGCTGCTCACGGTCTCAGCAGTGGCAGAAAAATGAGGCAGGCGGGGAGCCCAGGAAGCAAACACTTTCCCTTTTGATCTCGGCCACTGTGCTCTGCCCGAACTCAGTGCCACTCCTGTTCCTCCCCGTCCTCTGTGGTTGCAAAAAATGTGAACACTGTACAGCCTTATCTCTTTCTGTCTCTCTTTTATTTCAACCATTTCGAAAACTCCAAGAATGTTGCTGACTGAGACGTGTTCTTGCCGACCGTGTCCTGTTTGGCTCCTTCTGTTGAGTTCCTCACTTTTGTTTCCCCTTCCTGAGACAGAGGTGTTTCTAAATAAGTATAATGACATATATTTGTCTTCAGACCTCTAACCAGATGCATGCTGTAGGCTCGTTACCGGCCTGATAAATTTCTCTACCCCGGCATAGAAAGATGGTCCTCTGGGTCATCACGACCCATCAGTGACAACCAGAACAAAGGGAAAAACACACATGTAGATCCAGCAGCTGAGAGAACCTGGCATGTGAGCATCGATCCGAGAGCGGCTAAGCATGCAGGGGGCAGGCAGATGGATGGCCGGTCAGGGAAGGGATTGTGTGCTGCGTGCAGGCGGCGGGGATTTATCCTGAAGGAGATAGGGACCCCATCACCTGGCGGTAGCCCTTCCATCCTAGTTATCAGCGGGAGAGTCACTTGGGAAGTCGCAGTGGTGGGTGCACTGTGCTGTCGGTGCCTGGGACCCCCTCCATTAGGCTCCTCCCAGAACAGGTACGGCAGCTGTGAACTACAAAGCAAGAGGAAATTCTTTGAGGAGTGGGGTTCAAAAGGAAACCACAGAAGGCGAGTGGGCAGGGGGAGGTGGGGCGGGGAGGGTGCTTTTGGCTCTTCACAAGTGGGCACAGCCCTGGGCCACTGGGAGAGATGCACCTCTCTGCTTTAGTATTAGGGTATTATTTAGGACCTTTTTGGCTGCCGGTGATGGAAGCACTTTAATTGGTTTAAAGGGGAAGGAAAAAGAACGCAGTGGTTGTCATAACTTGCGTATCCAGAGGCGGAGCCTGTCGCTGGGGTCCAGGAATCCCAGCCCAGTCAAGACTCTTGCTCTCCATCCTTCCTTTCTTGGTGGACCCACTTCTCCAAAGAGTGGGGACACGGCAGGGGGTGGCCCTGGGCTCTTTGACTTGAGCATCGACCAGGCAGGGAGAAAGATTCTTCCCCCTCACCTCCAGCTTAGGGCTTTATTGCATAGGGTGGATATGTGTTCAGCACCGAAATGGACACAGCCCGAGGTACAAGCCCACTGCTGTGGGTCCGCCTCCAGACGTGGGGAGGGGTGTCGGGCAGACGGACCCACAGTAGGTACGCGGCTTCTTTTGGGAATTTAAAGAAAGCTGTGGACCCCCTGATCAGAAGCATGTGCACAGACGCAGATGTCTTCAAGCAGTTCCCAAAGCCTATCTGACCCTCCCAGCTGATGATGACCCTGCCTTCGGGAGCCGGGACAGTTGTGCGTGTCAAGCCCAGGCCTCGCTAGCAGATGTGGGAGGCACTCTGGGCTCTCAGCCTTCCCTTTGCCTTTGCTTTTTTCAGGCCAATGAGATGCTCTTCTGTGGACGGAAGCTCACTGCCCAGGAGGCGTGCAGCAGGGGACTCGTGTCCCAGGTCTTCTGGCCAACCACGTTCAGCCAGGAGGTCATGTTGCGGGTCAAGGAGATGGCATCCTGCAGCGCAGTGGTGAGTTTCTGTGTCTTTGTGTGCTTGTCCTTGCAACAGACCCATTTTACAGATGCGGGTGATGAGTCTGGAAGGGACTGACTGACTTGCCAGAGGTCACGCGGGGTGTATGTGTAACAATGCCGCAGATGCCTCTCCTCGGTGCCAAGAGCTTAAACCTGGAGAGAGAAAGTCTGCATCCTTAGGTATATTCCCCATCATCTCCAGTTGGAAAACCACACAGCAGAGATTTATGCTCTGGGGTAGAGTACGTTGCCTTAAAAGAAAGTCCTAGACACGCACGAAAGCACAAAACATCTGTAGTTTTTAAAGAATATGAGAAACAAAGGCAAATAAGGACCAAGGGTTTTAAGCCATCCGGGAGATGAGAGAAACCGGCATATCCGCCCTCGTATTTCACTTCTGCCCACTGAGCGCTTGGCACATTTAAACATCACCACTGGACTCTGAAGACACACCGAGAAATGGATAAATAAATAACAGCTCTGCAGAGGCGCCCGATTTTAATTAAGTGTCGATTTTATCTCCTAAAAGTCACTCTGAGCACAGTACGGAAATATCCTGTTGAAAGGTGGAGCAGAGGCTGTTCCTGGAGCCACAGGGCTGGTCTAGGAAATGAGCAAGGTGATTTGGGAGAAAAGGGCCCACGTGAGGGAGAGCCTCCTTGTGTCCTCCAGAGTCAGGGGGCTGCTGGGCTGGAGTTAGGGGTCAGACCCGTGAGCACCCCTTCCTTGTCTCCGTCGCCCGTCGCCCCTCGCCCCCAGCTGCCATGCTGCTTCATGATATGCCTCATCGGCCTCAATCGGGCACCTGCTGTGTGTAAGCTCTGCTCCCTGGAAGCCAGTGAGGATGACAGAGTGGCCCTGGGCCCGCATCGTTGGTGAACATTTAGTATGGGCCACACCTTCTGCTGACCTCTTTCTGTGGATTCTCTTTTAATTTTCCTGATAACTGCGGTGACCAGCTCATCCCACTTTGCCGGGGACCTTCCTGACTTGAGCACAGACAATCCCATGTCTCGGGAATTCCCGGGCAGAAAAAAGCCGGTGACCTCTAGGATCGGCTACCCAGAGACGCTTGTAGAAATTCTCAGCAGAGGAAGTGGCATGAGTGAGGTCACAGGAGTCCGAAAACTCCTGCGGGGTTTAGGCAGTGGCTCATAGCAGTTTATGCAGGTACACGGGGTGTTGGAGGGACATTGAAGCTGAAAAGGAAGGTAGGACAAAGGCCTCAACGTTCCCCACCCCCCCCCCACCCCGCCCCAACCTCCGCAAGGAGTCTGGCCTTTGGGCAGTGGACGTACTCAGGGGAACAAGCTGTTGAAGAAATACTGCAAGGAAATGTCTCCTGTCAACAGTCCTGAAATCAGGAGCTTTGGGGTGAGCTGCCCGAGAAAGGAATCTGCCCTACGGCCTGGGAGACGGTGTTCTGCAGGGGAATGCCTGTGAGGCAGGAGGCGGCCTCCAGCCCAGGCCGAGGAGGAAGACCCCAGCTCCCTGCCGGCCAGCTTGAGCAAGGGAGCTCCTGTCTTGCTTTTCCTATCTGAAAGCACCTTGGGAGAGAGCGTGAAGCGAAACCTTGACATCAGCACAGGATGGTCGCGGCCGGTGCAAGGATGCCTGGGGCCTGACGGCCCCACGGCGGCTGTGCCCGAGCAAGGCAGCGGTCCGTCCGGGTCAGCCAGGTGACTGCAGGCCACGTCCGTCACGCAGCCCCGGGCACCTGGACTTCCTTTATCCGTCATGTGGTGACCAAAATACTACCTGTTTATGGAGTTATCGTGAGGAAGAAATGAGAGAAAGCAGGGAGAGTACTTCTCGTGCAGCCTGTTGGTCAGTAGTGACTGTGGCGGCCTTGTTGTTACTACTCTGATCTGGTTGTTGTCGTTGTCGGGTCGTTGTCACTCATCACTCTGATGAGGGTCATTACCATTATTACCACCCGTACCAACGTCACTGCTCTTGTTGCTGTCCTCGGACATCACTGTCCTAACACCATGGCATCGTCACCACCATTGCCCTTCTCACCACCACATTACTAACATTAATTCCCATCATTGTTGCTACTGTAGTACTGTGGCATTATTACTATCTGTCATCGCTCTTCTCACCCTTCGCTGTAATTACTGCAAATTGTTATTGATTATTGCCACGATCGCCACTGATACTGGGCCGATGGATACTTTGACAGCCGTCCGTGTCCGTTCGTTATCTTACTCTGTGGTTCCAGCCATCCTTAAGCCAGGTGTCATTGTTGCTGTTTCGCAGGTGACAGAGAAGCACGGGGAGGTGAAGTCGGGTGTCTCCCAATCTTTTTCATGCTGCCTGTACAGAATGATACTGAGTTTGTGTCAGACCCTCGGGGAAAGGACAAAGCTCTTGCGGTCGGGGGTAACATGGGCCCCCCACCCCCACCCCGGCCGTCCCAGGGGCCGAGGGCTCAACATCTTGGCATGCCTGGAATCCATCCCTGGCATCGCTGGGGTCACAGGCCTGGGAAGTTCCGGACTACAGGAGGCAGTCTCTTCTGGCTTTGGGCATCGGAAGGTTAGCTGGTGCTTCATAGGCCAAGTACGTTCTCCTGGAGCAGAGGTCCCGGGGCCGGCTAACGAGGCTCATGCGTTTCCCTTCAGGTGTTGGAGGAGTCGAAATGCCTCGTTCGGAGCTTCCTGAAATCTGTGCTCGAAGACGTGAACGAGAAAGAATGCCTCATGCTCAAGCAGCTCTGGAGTTCTTCCAAGGGCCTGGATTCCCTGTTCAGCTACCTGCAGGACAAAATTTACGAAGTCTGAGGAGCCCCCGGCCGCTCGCCCCCACGCTCGAGGGCACCCGACTTCCAGCTTTGCGCCGTGCCTCGGAGATCGGAGCACAGAGCGTGCTGGCTGAGGGGTCCGTCAAGGTGTCTCTCTCGTGTCCATTTCCTCCTGTCCTTTGGTTGTTCTGCATTGGTTTGGTTTTGTATAACAGATGGGAAACTCAGCATACTTGGCCTCCCCCGGGCCCTCCCCCCACCTGCCCTTCCGCTGGCTAGAGAGCTATTGAGGGCTATATCTTCCCAGGCCTCTGCCAGTCGGTCCCCACTCGCCGAAATGCACCACCCTGGTCCAGGAAGGGGAAGACCGGTCTCCCCCTTCCTTCTGACTCAGGCTGCGTCTACACAGTGCCTCTGCTTTGGAGACTTGGCTGTATGGCTCTCTCCGGTTAAGTGCAGATCCGGTGACAGGGGACGGTCCATCTTAGGGAATTTCCAGACCGATGAGCGAAAACGGTTGTGTAGAGCCAGCCTCACTGTTCTCTCTGATGCAAATCTGTGTGACTTTTAGGGCTTGGTCTTAAAACCCAGTTGAGCGATTTGCAAACCCAGATGTTGTACGTTTAGGAATGTTTTGTTAAATATATATTTTTAAAACAATGTAAGTGGAAATTCTGATAATTTATGTGTATTATATGTAAAGCTAGTTTTACAAAAACATGAACTACTAGGAAAAATTGTTTTTCTTTAATCAACCTTATTTAATTTATTTATTTTTGTTTATGTCTTATGATATCTGTTGTCGACACAGATATTATTTTCATACTGCCCTGGACCAAATCCCACACGAGGTTCATGCCGTTTGGTGCATTCTAGCAATGAACCACGCAGAATTAAAATTCAGAGAGATGTAAGTGAAAGGATCCCTGTGGGTAGAAGGAATAGCGTTGCAGATCCTCGTCATGTAAAATGGTTCTCAGCTGTAATAATTGCATACTTCTTGTTGGGAGAAATTATGGGAGAGTTTTTTTCTTCACTCTGCTGCCTTGAAGGAGATAAAGGGGCCTCTGGCCTGAATGGTACTGAGACGGACCCAGTCCCTAATTTGTGACGTCAGGAAGAGCTGATCGGCTCTGATCAGCTGATCGGGGGGCGAAACAGATGGTTTCCTGTCTCCTTCTGGCCCTTTCTCTTTTAAAGGTGAGCAGATACAATGGGAGGGGATTCACGGCCCCGAGCTTTGTGTTTTAAGAACAGGTTGAGCTTCTACACTATGGCTAGAGACGTGGTCTTGTAGACGGTGCGTGTGGAGTTCATCTGGACGCGATCCCTACAATGGCCGTGGTTCCCTCTATAGACAGCCTCTCTCCTTTTGAGTTGCCCATGACCTCAGGAGGGTCAGGGAAGAGGAAGCTTCTTGCCTTCCCCTCCCTTCTTCTCCTGTCTCTGCTTGGTCCCCGTGGGATCCTGCAGGAACCACAGACCTAGGCCGTAAGGGATTACTCTAGGGAAACAGCCGCTTTTGCCCAGATGCCTGCTGTCCCACCTCCACTTGGGTCTGTCTCTTCCTCTGGGAAACCAAATGTATGCTTTCCCCAAGCCCCTGGACAGACATGGTTCCCGTGTGTTGTGCGGATAAGCTCTTCACCACTGCTAAATCCTCTGAAGAAAGAGCCCCGTGCTTTCTGTGTACTTTCTGGGGGCAGATGGGTTTCTGTCTATAGAGCAGTGTCTGGATTCTTGTTAGGGTTGGCAGAGGATGTTTGGAAGTTCCCTTGGATCAGTGTCCACCTCTCTTCTCTGCTGAAAGAACCTGAAATCCTGTAGCTTTGGACATATCACAGATCCAAACTTCTGAACATTTGAAGGATCTCTGATGATAAGGTAAGAATATGAAACCGTTACTCAGGTAGAGTTCCTGGCCGTCAGTTTGTCGGTTCTGGGTACCACAGGAGGTGTCTTAAAAGACGGTCTGTGTTTTGGTTGTTTCTATACAGTCTATTCGAGGAGGATGTTCCACCAATTGGGCAGAAGTAGGTTAAATCTGTTTGCTGTGGGGTAGACCGCATGGCTGAATTCTCCACTTTCTGGATGGTTGTTTTGATACTGTGAAGATGAAATCGAGGTAACTTTTAGCAATTTGACCTGGGATGGAAAATGCCAGAGCTGTGGATGTGTCAGGGTTTATTCCTAACAGCTTTCTCGAGATGGAGCGGGGGTGGGGGGTGGGGGCGGGGCTCAGGCTCTCACTTCTTATCTTCGGTCACAGAGCCCTCTCTCCACCCATAGCACCCTTTCTCCCCTCTCTGAACCCTGTTTTACCTCCACACCACCCTGTCTGTCCCTTTCCAGAGCCAGGGCAGGTCTCTGAGGAATTGTGCCTGGTTTTGGCAGACCTAACCCAGAATGACCTTTGGGGTTGGAAGAACAGATACGGGTGGGAAGTTAGTTGAGAGTACTAATTCAGTCAAGGAACCTTCTAGGCAACCCACTCCTTGCCATCCTGTCAGCCATGCGTTAGAACTCCCCTCCCTTCTCTGCTCCAACCCCTGGTGGTCAGCACCCAGCGTCTTGTGGTGGAACTGCCAGACTTAGTTCCGGTTCCAAGAGGACTTTGTGCGGAACTTTGCCAAGTTGGTCAGAGCTCCCCGCCATTCAGAAACCACACTCTAGTGCCCTTGTGCCCAACATTCCCCTTCCTGCGTTCAAATAATGTCTGTGGGCAAAAACTGTCAAGAACTACCCTCTAAGAATGAAATTGGGTAGCTTTGAGAAGGCAGCAGAGAACTGATTTAAAATGTTATTCTTGTTCACTGTAGACTAAACTAGGAAGTGTTCTCTCTGAAGCATGACAATAGGTTTTTTTTCCATATGAAGTTCGGTATGAGGATGGGAAAGTGGTAATCAAAATGGACCCTGATCAGTACAACTGTAGCTCCAAATATCCACGTTTAAAAATAGCCTTGACTGAATGCTGAATGGCGTTTCCCATTAATTGTTGGTTTAGAAAATTTTGTAAACTTTTTTTAATTTGAAATTGAGTCACATTCATGCAATTTTCCAATCTCGTTTCTGTGGAAAACACTTTTTTAAGAGAAACAAAGAGAAATGTCTTCAAATCTTCCTAAGTGAATATTTAAAATGCAGAATTGCTTCTCTTCTGTGTTTCTGGATTCAGACACTTAGATCTGTTGTACATATTAGTTTAGACACTCTCACTAATATACACAGTATTTAAGACTCTAAATGAGATTTCTTAAGTATTTTATTTTATTCTCTGTAAATGGTTTTGTATAATCTTTAAAAATCTACACTTTGCCTTTGTAGATATTTAAGGGAAACCATTTGGGGGTTGTCTTGCATGTATATTTTTGTTGTAGATAAGTGTTGCTCAGTTATTTCTGCAAATTTTGGTTGAAATGCTTACAGACTTTAATACAGTATCTATTTTCAGAATATAAAGTTTTTATATTTCTGTGATAAGTTAGGATATGCGTTTTAGGCAATCTTTTCCATTAATATCACTTGTTCTTTCAAAAAATAGCATACTGGTTTGTTGCCAATGGTTTCATTTCGTTTTCTCATTAGAATCTACTGCTCTCGTGTTGTCAGAGAGCAGGTTTAATCTTCTTTTTCTCAAAGTAGTTGAGTTTGAAGCATCATTTGAAAATGTATTGAACTTGTGGATAAGCCTTACCATTAGGATCAGTAAATTTGCCAACCTTTGCAACTACATATGTAGTTTAGGACCTCCCCATAAAGTCTCACTGTGTGGCAGTTGATGGAGTCTGTGAACAGAGCCTTAAGCTTGTTGCAAAAAAAATAAAAATAAAAATAAGGGTAATACGGGTTGTTTCTTCCAAGCAACGTAAGCCATGTTGATGGACTCAGTGCAGTCTGTAAGTCATGGCTAATCCGAAGAGTTTGGTTGAGCTGATGGCAGCAGGGGCCAGATAGGCACCTTGGTGATTTATCTTTCACCATACGAATGGACCGAGGACAGGTTTTCCGGAGCCACCTTCGTACTATTCACGTGGTTTAGACATGGTCACAGGGAGGGCTTGCTGGTCTATCATTTGTTCTGAACAAATGGCATTTCCTGCTCTTGACCTTGGCGGTTGACCCCGGGTCCCTTGGGGTTGACCTGGAACCATCCAGCCTGGCCGAGGTCAGCACTCCTTGAGAGGTGTTAACAAAGTTTACATGTGAGTCTTACTGTGTAGACAATCTGAAGTCAATTTCAGTTACGTAATCAGCATTCCCATGTGCCCTGAGTGTCTTATCGATGAACTGTGCGTGTTAAGCCATACTAAACCTGAGTTTAGCAGGGCAAAGGCAAACTAGATGAAGAACATCACATCAGCTGAGCCCTTTCACCAGGGGCCGTTTTAATGGAGTAGAAGTCGCGGAGCTCATCGGTGGTGCATCCACTGTGTCCGAGACCTACCAAAACCATCTGGGATTTGGACGTAAATTTTTGCAAAAACTTACGATTCCTTTCAGTTGGCTGCACTTCCGTAGCTACCAACTGATTCTCCTCACGAAGGCTTTACAGGTGACTCGAGACCAGAGCTGCTGTATGGCTGAAGTCAAGTTATTGTGCTCAGCTCTAGTAAGCGTTCACACAGTCTACCATCAGGGTGGAGATTTGCTTCCAGTGTTTGCAGTGTGTGAGGCAGTCAGAAGAACTGACGTCTGATCTTAAGCCTCAGCTCTGGTGTCTCCCTGGGTTAACCATGCCTCATTGGCCCAGCACCTGGCCTGACGCTGGAGCTCGTTCAGGGGGCTCCGGGAAGTTTGGAGGGTGTAGAACGTTCCATCTGGTATTAAATTTGTCCCTGTGCCATGAGTCCCAGCTGGAAGCCATTTTGCTGATGTCCACATTGACAGGATTGTGAAAATATTGCCTTTCATAAAACCAAGGACCAAAGAATTCCATTATTCCAACAAAACCCGAGTTTCATAGACTGTGGGCACATCCAGACAGAGGTGTGCGTGCTTTATGGCACAGAGAAGCTGCTCGCTTCCGCCAGCCTGGCTGGCCGTGCAGAGGGATTTATCACCTTGAGAAGGCTCTGGAAGATGAGTTTCTCAGATTGAAACTTGCTATCTCAGGTGGGTGTTTCTGCTGTGCAGTCCCAGCCTTTATCCATATCATGGAAGGTGGAGGTCTGGCATTCTTCCAGATGACCTGACCAGTGTAGACTGTTCCATCTGAATGGGAACCTCCAGTGTGAGTTTTAAAAAATGTGTCTACACTGTGCAACATCCCACAGTTGCCAAATTTCCGCCTCCTTTTGTTCTTCATTGACCCATTCCAATGTCCTGTTTGGCATGAGAAGAATTTCCCTCAATTCTCACACCAAGGGATGCCCCATTTCTCGTTCATGATGAAATCACCGATCCATTAACTGGCTGAGAAATGATCGACACTGACGAAGGGACATTCTAGTGGTAAGGCTTATTACCAAACTTCTGATAATGAAGCAGGCTACCAAAAACTTATCCAGCCCACCCTAAGAGTGTTTGGATTTGATCATGGGTGTAGCACACACACCGAAATCCAAGGAGACCTTTGCAAATTAGGCTACTTGTTTTATTTTGCCAGGTTATCATGGGAGAGTCTTTAACTAGTTCTGAATATTTGTAAGTATGAGTACTTCATAGAATTATAAAGCAGGTACAGCTGACCCTTTCTCACTGCGTTGTAAATATTTCCCGAGACTGGGTGCAGTCCTGAGGGATAATAATCTTCTGACTTATCAAATGCTGACTGTCTAGAGCAAATTGTACACTCTCTTTGTGAATGGTCCTGTAACGTGTATGAACACATTTCTGGGTGCCTTAGAAGTTGTATTTTTCATGTGTGCTAATATGCAGTATTTATACATTGTGAGAAGCTGCTTTGAATAAAAAGGTTGAAACTTCGTCAGCATTTGCTTGTGTGCATGATACTCACAAACCTGTGGTTTCTGAACAGGGAAGTTTCTGGGCTCCCAGGGGGTTGAAACCCCTGATACTTCTAGGTTGTGTCTGGGTTCCCGGCTTGAGGCTTCAATGATTCGGGCTGGTAGCTACTGGGCAGCAACAGCTTGACACTAGAGGACTGTAGAATGGGGGTGGGGGAGGGATTATCTTTCATGGGGGGTTGGTAGGAGCATTCATCCCTTCCCTGGTATGCGTGGAAGGTTACTTGCACAGGGCTGCCTCCTCACCAAAGATGACCCCCATAGAGCTTGATCTTGCACAACCCTAGCCGCCATATGTGGCTGGCGACAATTTTTGTCACTGTGGAATTATGTAAAGTCCTTCCATGCGCGTGATCTTGTTGCTTCGATCATCACCACGTGGCTCTTATGACATGCACGCTGGGGCGGGGGGAGGGGGGCGCCAGGCCTCCAAGGCCTGGCCCCGGCGACATCCCAGGGGCTGCGGGAGAGGAAGAAGGAGTTTTTCCAGGGATCTTGGCCAACAGGGGATCCTGGGAAAGGGATTCGCCCAAGGTCAAGGTCTAACCGTCCGTCTGTCCAGCAGCAGTGTTGAGCCTCCTGCTCTGTCTCGGGTGCCACATTGGTGCCCGAAGGCAGGGATTACTCAGTCCCTGTCACACAGGAGCTTGGGGTCTAGGATCGTCGGAAAAGTGGGTCATCTTGCCACGATCCTCAAACTCTCCACGATGCAGTAATGGAGAGGACGCCTTCCCGTCCGATTGTGAGTGCCCTCAGAGTGGAGAAGATGGTGGACCACTGATCGCTCTTGTTCCCTCGGGCCATCCGTCGGTCCACGTGGGCCAGCCTTGGCTGGAGCCCAGGATCTTCCCTCTGCTGGCCATCCTGCCCTTTTTCTTTCCGTTGTTTTTGGTGTCCTCATCATTGTCTTTGTTGCTGCTCTATGTGCTTCTTTGCCCTTTCTGCAAGGTCCTGACTCCGTCCTGAGTGGTCAAGATCACGCCTGGAAAGCCCTTTTCTTCTAACTGCCTCTGGTCTTTCCAGCAGCCTGGATGAGGCCTTTCGATGTCTCGAGTGTAACGTCTATAAGACAAACCTTGTGCCGTTGGCTTCCTCTCACAGCTGAACTCCGATGGGACCTTCCTGCTCAAAAACCCTTTCACCAAATAGCTGAGGAGACAAAGAACAGAGAGGGGCCGGGACTCACATGTGGTCAATTAAACGACTCACCAGTGTAGTGAATAAGCAGGAATGGAGTGTAACCCCCCAAAGCAACTTTCTTTTCTTTTTCCCACGTCCCCTCTAAGTCTGGTTCGTGGGATACCCCTGATCCTAGATGAAAACACAAACAGGCTGCAGGGCCTTTCTGGTAAATCACAGTTCCCTGAAGTCACAAACACGGTCTCAATTCAATAATTATGGGGGTGGGAGGGATAGGCAAAATAGGGGAAGGAGAGTAAGAGGTACAAAGTTCCAGTTACAAAAGAGATAGCTCACAGGAATGAAAAGAACAGCATAGGGAATGTGGTCAATAGTATTGTGATAACTTTGTGTGGTGACAGTTACTGCACTTATCGTGGTGAGAATTGTGTAATGTACTGAATTGTTGAATCATTATGTTATACACCCGAAACTAATCAAATATCATATGTCAACTATACTTGAATTAAAAAAATAGCTGATTAAAAAGTGGCCATGTTCCGTTTAAGAATCAAGGTTGTCGACGTTGTTCAAGGTTAAGGCTTCACTTGAGCTGAGGCTCACTGCCTTTACTGGTTGTGTTAGGGGAGAGCAGGGAAGAGTGACAGGGACCAAACTGTGCTGTTGCCTGGTGGGGTTTTTGTTCCGTGGGCCTCACAGGTATTTATACCTGACTCACTCTCTCAGGGAACTTGTATGGGTTTCTGGACAACCTCCTTCAGTTGATGGTGGCCAGTCTCTTAAAATTGCTGAATGAACCCTATATGATCAGCCTTCAGTCTCTCTCCAGCCCCCCAGGAATCTGGTTCTACAGCCGGTTCCCAGATGAAGTCTTTTGGCCCCTTGAGGGCAAGACAATCCCCAAGGCAGCTCTTTGCCACGCCTGGGTCACATGTGGCTCGTGGAAACCTCAGTCATTTTCTATGCAAGCAGATGCTAACTCCTGAACATCAGTGACTGCCTCACTGGTGGAGTAGCTGGTCAGCCTAGGTCTCTTGTCACAGAATTTCTCAGGCATGTGTCGGATGTCAATCCACTGCATCCCCTAAGTTTTAGGGGGTGCATATAAAAGCACCCCATTCTGAAGCCCCATTCCCCTTTGATTTCAGACAAAAAGGGAGGCCTCCTCATTTACTTTCCAGGTGTGTGCGTGCCATGGTGGGTGGAATTTCCAAAGAAATTCTTATAAAACCCTTCTTAATAAATGTTAGATGTGTTGCCCCCAGAAACTACTCAGGATCTTATAAGTGTTGAGTTCTACATGTTGCTGAGTATGGGAGGTACATGCTGTAGGGCCTTGTGGGTCGTGGTAAAGACTCAACTTACCCTGTAAGTGAGGATGGGAGCCCCAGGAGGATCTGGAAAGGAGTGGCCTGGACTGACTTGTGATGTAACAGATTCGCCCTATGACGATAGGCAAAAGTGGGGTGAGGGCAAGGAAGCCGGAAGGAGACTTGCAATTGTCCATCTGCCTGTGATGAAGGCTTGAATCAGAGGTGGGGTGGTTGAGGTGCTGAGAAGGAGTGAGGTCCCGAGCTTGTTTTGAAGGCAGACCAAGATCTGGTTGTGGAGTCAGGGAGAGAGAGGAGTCAAGGGCGAACCTGGGACTGGGGACATGAGCAGCTGAAAGCTGGAATTGCCCCTAACTGAGGCAGGTAGAGCTCTGGGCTTTGGGAGGGCAGGTCTGAGTGGGGGGTACCAGGAGCTCTGCCAAGACCTGGTGTCACATGCACAGGTGTTTGACCTTGCTCTGTCTTTGGGGATCACACCTGTGTCTGCCTCACAGGGATTTTTTTTTTTTAATGATTAAATGGCATTTACACACACATATTTGTATTATATGTGAGATTTTATATATGTAAGATGTATTAAAATATATAAATGACAAATAAAATTGGATTGTATATATAATATTTAAAACAGTTGTTGGCATATATCCTTTTTAATGATTATATCAGATTTGCATAACGAGATTTGTATTTGTATAAATGAAATTATATACATCGTATTTAAAGTACTTGATAACATATAGTCACTAATGGTTAAATGAGATTCTTACATATAAGCAAGATTTTATATATATAAGATTTATATAAATGAAATTATATGCAAATATCATTATATATAATTTTTAGAACAGCTGGCAGATAGTCACAAATGATTTAATGTGATTTACATATATGTGATGTTTTACATATATAAGATTTACACAAATATATGGAAGATATAAATGAGCTTATATACATACATAAATGAGATTTTACCTAAATATAAAATGTTCTGAAAATTTGTTGGTACATAACCAGTCTGTAGTGATGAAATGAGCTTTACGTATATGCATGAGATTATGTATGTATTAGATTTATTTAAAATATGAGGTTGGGTGGGGGCACCTGGGTGGCTCAGTCGGTTAAGCGACAGACTCTTGGTTTCAGCCCAGGTCATGATCTCGTGGTTCATGAGTTTGAGCCCCGCGTTGGGCTCTGTGCTGGCAGCGTGGAGCCTGCTTGGGATTCTCTCTCCCTCTCTCTTTGCTCCTCCTGTGGTCTTTCTTTTCTTATCTCAAAATAAATAGATAAACTTAAAAAAAGTAAAATATGAGATTAGATAGATAGATACCTACGTAATACCCCCCTCCCATATCTTCAGGACCACTGTTGGCCCACCATTGCTGCTTAATCGATAGTAGCCGTATTAATACTTATTCTGGCAACTGCCGTGGGCAGAGGCTGGGGACGCCAGTCAGGGAGCTCAGTGCAGATGTGTTCTGGTGCGAGTATATGTAGCCTCGGGCCCATATGAGCAGGACGGGTCAAGTCCTTCCGGTTTCTCACATGAGGGCTTGTTTCTGATGGTAACCAAATGGAGTGTTGCCCCCAGAGAAGCTCCCTGGCTCTGACACCCTGGCATGTCCTCCTCCTCTGCTGGTCCTTGCTGGCCCCTGTGTCCCCATCTACACGTGGGGCTCGCACTGCCTTTCCTGGGGTGGTCGCGAGGATTAAATAGGAGCTGCGTGAGACCCGGCGCACCTTCCCTCAAGGGTTCCATAGAGCAGCCCCATCAGAAGGCCTCAGAAGCCCTTGAGTTCTGAGGTGTCCAGGGAGACGTGTACCTCTCCATCCTCCAGGTCCTTTCCTGGAAATGTAGATGTGGTGGCACCAGACCAGAGATGGACCGGGAGCCTTCCTAAGCTGTGGTGTGAATGAGTGTCCTTCAGGCACGGAGCCAAGTGGGGAAGTCGGCATCCGGGAGGGGATGAGCCCAATCAGGGCACCAAGTTGGAGTGACTGGCCTAGGGCCGGCAGCCAGTGACAGAGTGGACAGCAGGGACAAGAGCCACTGTGGGAGGGTCAGGATGGAGGGGAGGAGGGGGACTCGGTGCAGTGTCATAGGATGACTGCCATCTTGCCCAAGGCTGGGGAGGGCGCCAGGTGGGTGTGAAGTGCCATTGTGTGTATGAATCAACAGTTCCTCCTCGAGGACCGTGTCAATTCGTGAGAAATGTGGGGAGATTTTGCCGAGAAGCAACTGCTGAAATCAAAGACCAGATTGTTAGAGATTTGTAGGCCATAATGCAAAGAGCGTGATTTGAAGTCACGCAATCTTGAGATTGAAATCTCTCCTTTGGTTTCAGTGTATGACACAGTCTTGATTTCCTAATCTGTACAATGGACACCGTAGTTCCTACTACAGGTTATCATGAGGCTTATGTGAGCTGGAGGGAGAAGGTGCCTGGAAGAGAGGAGCAGGTGTGTCCCCTAACTGTTGATTCCCTGACATTCACCTT